CCAAATTTAGGATCGACTCTAATTATCTCGAACCTAAAATTTAGAATAAGTAAAGTGAAAGCCAAATATTTTTCAAAATTCAGTAAAGTATAACATATTACATGATAATTAAAAGTCAGTTATCAATATTTTAAACTGAGATTTTGGACCAAGTGTTGAACCAAATTTAGAATCAACTCTGATTATCTTGAATCTAAAATTTGGAATAAGTGAAGCAGGAGCCGAACACTTTCCAAAATCTAGTAGAGTATAGTATATAATATGATAATTAAAAGTCAGTTATTAATATTTTAAACTGAGATTTTGGGACTAAGCATTGAACCAAATTTAGGATCAACTCTAAACCTAAAATTTGTAATTAGTGAAGCGGAAGCTAGACATTTTTCAAAATTCAGTAGAGTATAGTATATGATATAATAATTAAAAGTCAGTTATCAATATTTTAAACTGAGATTTTGGGACCAAGTATTGAACCAAATTTAGGATCAACTCTGGTTATCTCGAACCTAAAATTTAGGATAAGTGAAACAGGAGCCGGGTATTCTTAGAATTCAATAGAATAAGGCTTTCAAGTCTTTCACCTTGCTCTTCTCAGCTCCAGATAACTATCTTTAGTTTTTAAGAATAACTTTATATTTATTATCTATCTATTAACCTAAATCACATCTACTTAATATATTAATCAAGACTTGGGTAAACTTAAATCAGTTAATCAAATTTGAGTAATACCTTTGTTAGATGTCTCTGTTATTTTTCCTCTATCAATCTAATTTTTGCTATTACAAATATTTAAAGAAATTAAAAAAAGTGTTTCAAGTATGTTATTTCTATAGTAGTTAGCAAGCCAGTAAGCAAATTAGCAAATTTGGCAAGACAATAGTTGTCATTATTTGGCGAGCTAAAAAAAAAGCACACTCGCAACTTGTTAACTATCCTAGCTATAAAATTTGAGTTTAATAAGTAGAATAAAGAATTAATAAGAGCTTCTTTAAATTATTTAATACTTAATAAAGATCTATATATATAAATATATATATAATTTAAAATGGTTATAGATTAACTACCAAAATCAATTTTACTGAAATGCTATTTGCCAAAGTTATAATACTGACATTTTATTTTACTAACAAGATATAATTTTGAAAGTCTTATTTACCGAAATATCATTTAACTGATAATAATTTTTATTGATAAGTCATTTAACTGCAATTTCAATTATATCGAATATTAAAAAAAATGAATATCTATTTTATTGACATGCTATTTTTTCGAATGGTATATTTTTTTGACATTTTATTTCTTTGAAAATATATTACTAAAAGATCTTTTACTGAAGAATATTTTATTAAATTTATAGAACTTTGAATATCTAATAACCTGAAAAAAGGTATAAACTAATTTGCCGACAACTATTTTACTAACAAAGTTAGCCTTGTTGAGTTGGCATAATTTATACAATTTTGTTCAACCAAGCATCTTGTTAGAAAATTTTTTTTAAGAATATCTTTTGGAAAAATATCTTTTTGGAGAAACATTTTTTCAGAGAAATATTTATTAGTAAAAAGGCTTTAGAAAAAAATTTTATCTGGGAAACTAGAATTTAGAGAAAGAGTTTTGTTAGTAAAAAAGTTTGTAGAATAAAATTTTTCAAAAATTCAGACAGCATTTTAAGAAATAGCTTATAAGAATTTGATATTTTCTGTTTCTAAAAGTAGAGTTTCTGAAAATTATAAATTCTAGATTTACTCTTGGCAGCACTCATTTGGTACTTTGGTTCAAATTAGTGCACTATATTTAGTAATTAACAACATATATTTCAGCCCAAAAATTGATATTAATATATACAGTTAATTAATAAAATATTTAAAACATGTAACAGCTAATTGTAATTAATTTATAGTAATAAATCAGTCATCAAACTTTGCTTTTGATCTCATAACAGTTAAGTTTAATAAAATCAACATAATTTCTTTATTTTTTTTTTTTAATAATGAATAGCAATAAAAAATTTATTATTTTCATTTTTTAATATTTTTCAAAATATTAGAACATAAAAAATAATAATATAAGTAATTATTTAATTAATAAAGGTTTTAATATTCTTCTGTTACTTAGCAGATTAGATTGATTAATTTTAGATTCTGTATTTATTCATCTGTTAGTTTTTTTTAAGGCTTTGTAAAAGTGGTTGTATCGAGAAAAGGAATTCAATAAAAAGGTTTCTATCAGTAAAATATACTATCAGAAATATGTCTTGTTAAAAGAAGAGTATTTCAGGAGGTAGGTATCAGAAAGTAAGAATCAATGCTTAGTTAGGGGATACTGTAAATAGAAGAATAGAACTATTGATTAGTCAAAAAATAAAATTTTGGGTTACTACTAAAAGTAGTAAAAAAAAAAGTACAACTTTCTTTACTAGGTTTTGCAGCTTATTTATATTTTTTATTAAACTTACAAAATTAATAATCTTATTATCCAAACTTACTAGTTCTATGACATTGCTAGATCAATAACCGTGAGTCAGCTAATCTTTACAATATTTTTTCTGTATCTTTGTCACAGTTAGTTTTAGAACTATTATAATTTTTGTTTTAAATTATTATAAAAATTTTGTAACAGAACTTACTTGATAAAGCAGTATACATAGTAGTTAAAGTTAAGTTGATTATATTGAAATTATTATGACCTCTACAATAGTATGAGTTACTGTAAAAAATTTTAGTATATAACTTGCTATATTGAAATTATTATTTTTCTACTATAATTTACTGTAAAAAATTCTGTTATATGTACTTATCTACTAATTCAATATATAGATAGTAGTTAAGATTAAGTTTACAAATCTCTTAGATAGTAAACCCACTTTGTACTATATCCTAGTACAAATTACAGAATTCTCTTTAATTAAATATAATTCTTTTTAAAAATTTAAATTGTTTGTTAAAAATACAAAGTATATATATATTTCAAATTTTTACTAAACTCTTAGTTGTGTGCTATATTCAGATCTATTAAAAAGTTTTAAAATTGGTAAAATGTAAAAGACCCAGTCTTGTAGCTATTTATAGTAGTTTGTATTAAAATATTATTTTTGTTTAATTAACGTTAAGCTAGTTTATATTAAAAGAAAAACTATTATATTTTGTAAATTGTATTAAACAATTAAAATCATATCTTTTCAACGATCCTTGTATCAAAATTCCAAAAATATTTTTTTGTAAAAAAACAATAGAGTATAGTAAAAAACAGAAGGCAGCACTATAAGTTGGCAGTTGTTATTTAGAGATAGTTCTCATATGCTACCTGCTAACTTCTTTAGAGTTTATCACTCACCGCATACATGACACTTGTCGTTTAGAAGTAGTTCTTATACGCTACTTGTTGACAAGCCCAGAGTTTATTACTCACTGACAAGAAAGCATAAGTACACCACCCCTTTCCTAGAAGAAAGTTTAGAAATTGTTGAGTTTTTATATGGATGTAACAACTTTCCTTAAGTGCAAGTGGTCTTTTCCTAGATGTTTTTCACTTAGCCAGTTTTTTTTCAAAATTTTCAACAAAAAGTGGGCAATTTGGCTTACTCTTCTAAAAGATTAGCATTGTTTGCCTCCCAAATTCAGAAGTACCCAGGAATGCAACCACATGCATTGTTTAGCAGTAGATATGTGATATGACGTAGTTTATAGATATGGAACCTCCACATGACTGGGATCGGGTCTCTAGGAACGTCCAAAGGTGGGCTGTAGTCAGATAATAATTTGTTAGATTTTTTAGTCGAGATATACAAATATTGCAGTTGTTATAAAATTTTTTTTTAAACCTGGCACAGGTTATAATAGTGTATTTTCTTTTGTTCTATTTGTACTGCTTCTTGATAGAGGTAGTTTCTTCTTTGCTAGCCCTCAGGCTTTCTTTTTTGATTTTCTTTTTTTACATTTCATTGTACCTCTTTTATTTTTTTCTTTAAAATTCCTTCTTCGTTCTATTTGTTTTTTTTAGTTAGTTTTTCAGTTTGTTTCTCGGTAGTATTAGTGGTTTTGTATTAGATATAAGACTATCACTTTTTTTTGCTCTCGGTAAAGAAAGAGAATATGAAGGGAAAAGCTTTGATGGGCTGACAAAGTTTATCTAACTTGTATACAGGTTGGTGCAACAAGTCACATTTGGGTATGTTAATTGCAGCCAGGTGATGTCAGGCTCACAATCGCTAAACGTCTTTTATAGTTATGAATAATTTATATTGTTCGAGAGAGTTCAACTCTTACCTAAATATAGTTTTAAATAAATTGAGTACTGGCAAGACTGTTAAAGAATTAAAAAAAAAATAAAAAATTGTATTAAACCTATTAGTTATATAATATAAACTAGCTACTTTAGAAATTAATATAATTTATTATATTTATATCTAATAAAAATACTATAATAATATTTAAAAAATTTAAAATTAAAATATATTATAAAACTAATATTAATAAATTTTGTCTTTTAATTTTTGTTTATTCTTTTTGATTTAAAATTGTATTATTTAATTCTAAATCTTGTTCAATTAATTCTAAATCTTCTTCTGGTTGAATTTCAATTTGATCATCATCATTTAATTGACCTCATGTATCTCCATATTTTTCTATAAAATTATGTAAAATTAATGCAGTATCAATAAGTTCTACTCCTTTTGATGGATTTCTAACTCTTATTTCTTTTAAAAATAAAAACCTTGCTTTTAAACGTCCAAAAGCTTGTTCAACTACAACTCTAGTTTTACTATGTTTAACATTATAGTTTATTTGTTGTTGTTGTTGTGGTCTATTTGGAACTTTAAATGGTGTCATAACAAATAGAAGTAAAGAATATGCCGAATCACCTAAAAGATATTCTTCTCCTTCAAAGAAAATATTTTGTTGAGTATAAATACTTGAATTTTGAAATACTTTTGCATCATGTACTGATGCAGGTCATCCAATATCATAATAAATAAAATGACCTCTATGATCTACTATTCCTTATAAATGAATTTCATATTTATGCTTTCTAGAAAAATATACATCTTTGTTAAGTCTATTAGGAGCTTGAAATACTGGTATATGAGAACTATCAATTGCACCAATAACTAAAGGAAATCCTTGCATTTGTTCAAATTCATTATGTATTTCTTTTTTATGATCTCCAGATGGCCATTGAACATATTGTGATTTTAAAGATCTTATAGCAGTAACTACTCTATCCATAAATAAATGTACAGTACCCTCAGCAATATCAAATAACATAGAATTAGTCCAGATAGTTGATGGAGATCCTAAACGATATAATGTTACAGCAAGTTGAATTTTAACTTCTGTTTGAAGATTAGTTGAATTAGAATGAAAAACAGAATAATTTTGAATTTGATCTACTAGTGCAAAAAATGTAGGTTTGTTCATTCTTAAAGTTCTTCTAAATTTAACTTCATCATAATTAAATAGCATATTTCTCACCCAATCATCTGATTTAGGATGATTATAAGTAGAAGGTTCAGAATTTAAAGTTTCTGGATATAATGAACAAATTTGAATAAGTTCTAATTCATCATCACTTGACGAATCCACCTCCATATTATTGTTATTTTCATCACTACTAAATTCAGCAGCTTCGGCAAAAAATTGTTGAAAATTAGATGACATTTTGTTTAAGATTAGAATAAGAAAAAAAAGATACTGATAATTTTAAAATTTGAATAATTTAATACTAAATATTGACAAAAAAACAAAAAAAAACAAAAATTCAATAAATACTTATTTATAAATATTACCCCTAGGAAAAATGTATAAGTTTTATTATACTAACTTTTTAAAAATTACATTTTATTATGTAATACATAGATACAATACAAATACGGTCAAACTATTATAAAAAAAATTAAACCACTAATTACAATCAATTTTAATTATATAGATATTATTAAAGATTGGAACTTTAATCGTAATTGGTATTGAAAAATTAGAATGTTAATCACAATTGGCTTTAATTACAAAATCGGATTAAATCTTTTATGTCCAGTACGGTGAGATTTTAAATATATAACTCAGAATTTCCTTGTTGGCACTTACTGCACGCATAGCGATAGATTTAAATTGTGAAAATAATTAATAATTAATAATTATTAATTAATTTATTACATATTACGGAGCTTAAATTTATTGCCGACATTAAAATCAATAATAATGATGATATTTAATTAATAATAACAATTAACGTTGAAATTTTTTATTTCTTTCGATATCGTCACACCACATATTTATAAATATTTTTGTGATGAATTTCAAATTAATAATAAATCATGTTTTGAATGCATAAACCATGTAAATGAAAGCCAAAAACGGAAATGTGAGGATCGCGATATTCACAAGCAAAAGAAAATGCCATAAAATTCAAAAAGCTTGAATATATTTATGAAAAACTTATGGATTTTGAAGGAGAAAGCAATATGCTTATGGATCTTGAGATAGTTGTAGATATTTTCCAAACAGCTAACGAATCAGAAGTAAATAATATGGACGAAGCTTTTGCAAGTTCATTAGCACTTAAGATTATAAAGGTCTGTGAAAGGGGAGATGGATATTAATTCAGGTACAACGAAACTCTCAATATCCTTTGATTACAGAAGCTAAGAAATTTTATGGGAAAATATTCGAGCATCAACCATAATTGATTACACACAAGTCAACTTAACGATCGATCGGGTAAATTCAGAAAATCAGAATATAGATAATGAGGGATCGAGTATTTACGGTAGTGAATCCGAATCTGAAATTTTAAGAAAACTCTTCACGAAGTATAAAAGTATTATTATTATTTTTTATCATTATATTACTGTGTTTAAATAAATATATTTATTAATTTTAATATTTTAGGCGCTTGATTGTCTTGAAAAGTCCAATAATCTTCCCAAACAAAAAAATGGCTTCGAAGTATTGAATCGAACCTTAAACCTATTCAGAAAATGGTAGATGACATTCAAGATTTCGAACGAGCAAAAAAGCATCCAAAAACTTGGAGTGGACGTAACAAAAACACCTTTTATTGGTAGTATTAAATTCTCATTTAAAGATTTATACGTGTAATAAACAAAATTAAAGCTTTATACGTGTATTAAATAAAATTTAAAGCTTTATGCGTGTATTAAATAAAATTTGAAGCTTTATACGTGTATTAAATAAAATTTGAATCTGGATCTAAATGCATTTTGTACATTCGAATCGAATGTATTTTGACTTGGAATTTGGATAATTAAATTAAATAAATTCTAATAAGTTGAATAAAATATAAAAAAAACTTCAATTATTTCTTCAAAAAATATCGTGATCTCGTGATTCTGTTATTCTTGTACGCAGATTGAAATTTAAAAAGCGATTATGTAACTGATCGTGGTAATCCAAAATCCAAATTCTAACTGTTACGTAGAATGATTATTTAGCACTAACCATAAATAGCTCTAGAATAATTATTAACACTACTATAAAGAGAACAATTATTTAACACCAACCATAAAGTGCCGTTAGGGATGATTATTTAACACTAACCAGTTAGAATGATTATTTTGCTTTGCTTTATAACCGGCCCATGCTATGGTGTGGCGCCATGTTATGGTGCAGCACATTCAACCCACCACAGGCTAGGTACTAGGTGCAGCGAATGAGGGCGGGGGATGTGGCCTAACATGAAGGAGCCAGATCAGCAAAGAGAACAAGACAAGGAAGTAAGAAAGCACTAAGATTCACCCTTTTCCCCCACATGTATCTTTATAATCTCTGTCGCATACTTATCAATAATATCTACATGCATACATATCTATGATCTTTTGTCGCATACAATCACATTATATGCTACAAAACTGGTTATCCTCGCGATAATAACCATAGCGTGACTTTGTCAACGCATAGGACTTATTAAATAATTTCTATTCGTTTTCATCGTGTTGAAACTTGAATCAACAGGATAATAAAGTTATTACCTGTACATACTTACTAACCCAATTGCTATGACAATAAATTTTGCATGATCCCATTCATTTTCATCATGCTGAAACTTGAATCAACAGGATAATAAAGTTATTATCTGATATGCAGATACATATGTACTAACCTAATTGCTATGACAATAAGTTTTGCATGATCCCATTGCGGATTGGCTTATCATTATAACCTGCAATTTATGTTTTCGCAACCATTAGTAACGTTAGCAATAAACTTAACTTGTACAATAATAAAACATTGGGGCAATTGTTAATAATGTACAAAATTTTATTATACAGTAGCTGTTTTCGAAATGTTCTTGCGAATACCTGAACACTTGAATGCCCGATTAGTTCAGAATGATCACATTGATCAAAGATCGATTTCCAACTACGAAATAGTAATTACGTATAATATTAAACAATTACTCGCTTAATTTATCATTAAATAAAGATAGTTGAAATCGATCTTTGTTCAATGTGATCAATGTTCTAAACTTGTGTTCAAATGGATCAATCGCGATTAAAAATTATGCAAACAGTACCCACATTTACTGTATATCCTGATGAAATGAAAAAAATTTACACATTATAAATCCTCAAACGCATCATTTTTATCTTTTTCAACTCTTATTCCATTTTCATAACAGCGTCCAACATTATATATTCCATCAGCATGTCTTATGTCTGCAGATTTTTGATAATATTCGAATGCCTTCTTTATGTATTTTACAACTCTTATTCCATTTTCATAACAACGTCCAACATTATATATTCCATCAGCATGTCTCATGTCTGCTGATTTTTTGTAATATTCGAATGCCTTCTTTATGTATTTTTCAACTCTTATTCCATTTTCATAACAACGTCCAACATTATATATTCCATCAGCATGTCTCATGTCTGCTGATTTTTTG